AAAAACAGTGTAGTCTAAATAGACGCAAGGAGTCAGCAAGGTATACAGGATTTCTTTAAGGAGACGGCCAAACTGGACAGACGGAGGCAATCAAGGATCTAAGCACCTTCCTAAACGAGGGACTATATCCAAACTCCAGCGTCCAGCCTCCAATCTCTGCCATCAAACGACTATATCTGTACTATCCAATGATTCATCTCAGATAGTCGCTTACAGTATGGGGGAGTGCAACATAATAACGCGAATGCATGGCGTGAGATCAGACGGGAAATGCGGAGCAGCTGACTCCTATCAGCACCCTAACAGAACATCGCAATTTGTTTATTATTGGTGCTTTATCGTCCAAGTACTACAACACCAAAAGAGATGGACGATCTGATATGCATTGGCAAGTGCGCCAATCTTTACCGAGCTGAAGGGGCTGTCCGAAAAGACAAAGCGTGAAAAACACACGCCATTCTGTACAACATTTGTTGTAGACGAGAAACGAGAACATGAGTAGTAAAGAGGTCAGAAAAGCCAATATGATGGACGGGGGCATGTTGCCGTTGTATCTTGGTCCAATTAAATGAAGACGTATCGCTGAACCCAGAGGGTTGCGGTAGAATGTGACGCTGTCTAAAATATATGACGTCCCAAGTACTACTGCGCATTGCAAAAACTGTTCGAACATCATACAATCCGACAGATGATTTTAACATTCCTTAGGTTCGATGCGCGACGGAAACATTCCGCATAGTTTCGGCGTATCTGTTTTGTTTTGTCAATTAACTTACACACAAAAGTACTCGCACGCGTCAATGTCTGGGAGACGGCGATTTCGTTTTCGTTTTACAACCGACTCCCTCTCTGACCTGCCTAAAATGGACGAATACGAGCGGAAAGAGGTGGATCTCGTTCTCTTTTTCGAACCTCGCTGTCCGACCAGTGGAGAAGTGGCACGAGACAGAGCGACAACGAACCAATCGCGTCGATAGGCCGAATCTTGTCCGGGGCCCAAGAGTGTGAGAGGCTGATCTGAAGGAAGACTCCTTCATTCTTTCCTCTGCCATGCGATGCAATCCGGAGAGAAATGGTCACAAAGTTTGATGGCGATGCTCGACATTGGACGTTCGACGTTCGACGTTCGACGTTCGACTTGAGATGTTGCATTCGAGAACATGGAGTGCAGCGCCAAGAAACTCCAATGTGAGGTGGCGTCCAGCCGAGGAGCCAAGAATAGCCAAGGAAAGCTTAACTTGCGATGAAATATTCCGTGAAACGAAACGACAACACAGCACGCTGCTTGTCGTTGAATTTGCCGGTAATTCAAGACCAGGATGAAATATATCCTCGCCGTCCAGTTCCGCGAAATGGACTCATATCCTCACGTCCCCGCCCAGATTAGCGTTCGTTATCTTTGCGGCGTCTGTCGCCTTTGTTGCCCTCTCCCCCTTTTCGCCCCTTTTGACGTCTTCGCCGTCGTTCTTCAAGCCCATTGGATTGGCTTTCGTCCATGTAAAAGCCGGTTACATTCCTAATTCAGTCTAGTCTAGTTTACTCCTCCATCACCCTAACGGCCACTCATGCCGGTCCTGACGCCTCTGTTGGGGAACACACTGGGCAAAAGCGTGTCTCACTTCCTTCGACACGCCCGGATCGCTCCTTCCTCTTGCTACTTCGACTTGGAACTGGATCCTTTTGGGAAGGAGCATCCATTGCTGCCCCAGGAAAGCGCCATTGAAGAAATGACCAACGACGTGTAAACGAAGTGTCGTTGAACATTGGCGAGGGTCCCGACGATTGCGCCGACCAAATGGGCCCAGATGGCAATTTGCATCTGTAAAAAATTGCCAAGGCCCCAGCTCTCTCTTGTCTCTCCTGCCAAGAAAGCATCGGCAACAGCGGCATGCGTTAGGAACGTGCCGATGGCCCGCGCGAGGGGGATACAAATGACTGAAGAAATGAAAAAAGCGGAAGGCGCGATGGGGAAGGGATGGGCAGTCCCATAAAGCGCCTTGGCACCAGCATCTGTCAAATGGAGATATTTGAAGCAAGTGTAGAAAGTGAATGTGCAAGATGCATCGCTTCTTGGCAACTGGCTCGTCAACATTCACATCGCAAATGTCCAACCTATTTTTTTTTTTTTTTTTTTTGGTATTTCTGAATTCCTCGATCTCCTGGATCTCCCGGATCTCTTCAGCACAACTGTGCCTAAACATTTTAAGTCTAAAAAAAGCAGAGCCGCGACCGTCGGTTTAGACTTCTCACACCATTCCACAAAAAAATAAAACGATTATCTCATCATCCTCCGGTCCGTCCAATGACGATGCGACTCCTCTCCCGGGATGACTCACATAGCGAGTCCTTGTCTACAACGATCATTGCAGCCTTATATTTTGCAAGACATGGAAATGAATGTCCGTCCAGTCTATAACAACACTCCGCCAGCCTGGTAACTGGAACGATCGGCTCCATCATGTCGTTAACCCTTGCTACGGGCCGCGTCCCGCCATCGTCCCGGAAACTTTAAAGCGCCAAGACGACCAAGGTAATGAAAGATCTTGCGTGCATGCCACGCGATACAATGCAGCCTAATGTGAACCCTGGATTTCGTCTACACCAGCCGCGGCTACACTGCCGAGCGAGCGCACAGATGTGCCTAGTGGTGTATACGACTGCGTTGCTGCCTATCCCGCTCCTGGAGGAGTATAAAGACTGAAGTGGCCTTGCATATCAAGCGAGGTGATGGCGCAGACAAAAAGACTGCCACTATATTTTCACTTCATTGTCTATAAAGGTTGCTCTCACTCCCTGACCGAATCGTCACACTACCGCTTCTTGCCATCCATATCTTCTGCATACGCCGACGGCCACGCACTGGTCTTCACTCCAGACACGCAAAGCGCAGTCGTAACTCTGGCGGGCTTGATGACTATATATGGAAAGTCAGACCTATTGTCGTGTTTCGTCTTCTGTTTGATTAACATGCGAAGGAACTTACAGCAACGTGACGCCCTCATTCAATTGTGTCATCCTTTCCGCCATCCGTTTGTCCGTTTGCCTTTGAACCTTCCTTTGTCTCCTCAACACCATTATCACCAGTGTTGGCGCTGTTTTCGTCTTTTGCCGCTTGTACCTTCCCCTCGTTTTCCTCTGATGCCCGTTCTTCAGCCTCCTTTTTTGCAGCGTCTCTTATCGCCTTGTCACGAAACCGGTCCATAAAGGGAACCAGCTCGTAAAACACGTCCACAGTGTGCTTGTACTCGCACTTTCAGCACTTGTAGATGATGTCGCGAATCAGCAAGTCGTCGGTGTCGGCCGGATACTCGCCGCGCTCAAACGAGGCCGTGATGTCGTCCTGAGGCGCGCGGTCCTGGTGCGGCCGATGGCCCGTCAGGATGTGGTAGAAGGTGCTGCCCAGAGCAAAGCGGTCGGTGTCCGGGGTGCACGGCCAGGGTGCGGGCCGTGGCAAGAAGTAGACCTCGGCCTCGGCGGCCAGGTTGGTCTCGCCGTCAATGGAGCTGCCGCCAAAGTCGATGATGCGCAGGCGGTCGTCGTCGCCGATCAGTAGATTGTCCGGGCGCAGGTCACAGTGGAGGACGCCGTGGCGGTGGAGGTGGGCAAGGCCTTGGGTGGCGTCCACGCACCAAAGCACGCACCACATCAGCTTCGTATCGGGGTTCTTTTCGAGGTAGTCGTGCAGGTTACCTTTCTTGCAATAACCGAGCATGATGGACACCGAGTCCGGCGTGGCCGTGCTGCCGTAAAGTGGCAAGAGACGTTCATGCGGCGGCAAGTACAAGTACACCGAAGTCTCGCGTAGAATCGTCCGCATGCTGAACTTGTGATTATGCGGCGATCCCCCCTCGCGAGCTCTCTTGACAACGCGTGTACCACAGGGCATCACTGTGACAGAGCCGAATCCACCGTGGCCGATCGATTTCTGGAGATGGAGTACCAGTAGTGTTAGCGCAAGAATAGGTATTGTTCCGTGAAGTATAGTGTGATGACGAACCCGGCGTGACGTGGACAATTCTGTCGGTTTCTGCACCTTGCCTTCGCTTGTAGCGCCTGCACAGTCGGCATTCTGAGCATCGCCACCTTTTGGCGAGACTAAGCCGTGTTCGGGAATCATTGTTTGTTCCATACGAGCGGAAACATGAATGGCGTGTCGTGAAGGTGCCAAATAGTCGTGGAGGTCGCCGTAGAAGTGCGAAACATGAGTTTGATCTGATGTAGGGCAAAATGCGGTAAGTGGCTGGGCGAGGTTCAGGTGACATAAGCAAACCATGGGCTGCAACTGTAAATCTTGACGTCGATTTTGCGTTTGTACATTGTGCAATGTCGGACAGAATTGGCGAAACATTTCTAACTGTATAATAAAATTGTAGTATGAAAATGCATACGCGTTGACCAGATCGCGGTATGCTTTCCTCCGTTTTGACGGACGAGATAGGCGCTGAGAAGCTGGAAACCAGCTCCTATTGCTTGCACGATGCATTACTGTCCAACATCTTTTCGGCACTGGACTGTAAGAACGGGCCGCCCCTGAATGCGGTTTTAGGGCGTCGCCTTAACGTTGGCGAGATGTTGCATTCATCATACCGGTTTGATATTGAAGCATTCGACATGGATAATATATCGTGATTCATCTGAATTATAGCGCATTCTTCGGCCCGCTGACATATTCTCCAAGGAGCCTACCTGTTCGACATTTAAGTAGAGTCGACAAACGACCAAAAAGTAAAAATAAACGTACAGCAGCGGGTATTCGCTGGTCGTCACCGACCCAACTACTAATCCACCGATTATATGTTTGACTAGGGGAGAGCGGACGGGATCCCGTATTTCCATATATCTGTGGCCGTACGTGAAAGAAGAGGGGTTTGAGAGTGTTTATATAGTGTTAACGTAGGAAACATTATTAATAAAATAAAATAAAAATAAAAATAAAAACGACACATCTGTTAACGACGCATCTGCTTTGCACATTGTGCCATACATGAGTCAGTCGACCTTTACGTCGCTCGTCTGTCCCCATCCTCATCCTGGAACCACGGGTCCTGGAGAAGCTCTTGCGCCGTCGGCCGTTCCTTGGGATCGTACTGCAGCATCCGGCGGATCACCTGTTGGACCTGATGTGCTTGGGCGTTCGTCATGTCCTGTGGTGCCAGGCGGACAAGTTCTCTTGCATGGTCTGCAGTGCCCAGGGATGCATGTCCTCGGGGCGCATAATTACGTCGTCGCCCACGTCGCCGCTCTCGTCATCGCTCTCGTCCTCCCTTTCGCCGACTCTCATATTAAACAGAGTCCGTTGACCATCTTTGTCGGCACGAAAGTAGCGTGAGTACCGCGTCCAGCGCGTCCAGTCGGCCGTGCGTAGCGGCCCGAGCTGAACCACCATCTGCATGAGATGCTCGTCGTCGTCCTCCTTGTCGGTTTGGCCGGGAATCCACGAGAGGAGAAAGAGAGATTCACCGGCAACGAGCTCAAACACGAGGCAGCCGAGGCTCCAATGTCGAGAGAGCGGCCGTCCAGTATATCAGTGGAGGACTTTAACATCAGTTCGGGGGCTCGCAGTCCAGTGGGCGTGACAATTTTGGCCGCTGGGTTGTCGAGAGAGTAGGCTGGCCGTGTTAGCGGGCTATTTAGAGGTGGTGGATGTTACAGAACGCAACAGAGTAGGTGATATCCCAGTGACGCCACATAAGGGCGTGGCGCACACAACAGACGTACATCGGTGCTATAAAATATGTGCAGCTACGGTTAGTTTAAATATACTTTTATATTACAATATATCCAACGCCACAAGCACGCTAATTCCTATCAAATTGGTTGGCACTTCGGTGCGGCCATCGCTTTATTCCGGTCATTTAAATATATCTAAAAAGCATTATATTCAAGAATAACAAGACGCATTCTATCACACATTCATTATATACATCCTCCGCTCTCTATACACAGCCATTGCTGCCTCTCAAAAAACACCTAGTACTTAATCTCAAAGCTGTACGCGTCCTGGTAGTGCATCGCCCAGTACTCGTCCCAGATGGCCTTGGTGATGGGGCCCACCTTGCCGTCGGCTACCGGCTTGCCGTCCAGCGTCGTGATGGGCATAATGCCGCCCGCCGTCGTGCACATGAGAATCTCGTCGGCCTGGTACACGCTCTCGATCGGCACAAACTCGAGGCGGAACTCGTAGCCGAGCGTCTTGGCCGCGTCGATGACACTGCGGCGGGTCACGCCCTCGAGCACGCCGCGCGCCGGCGAGTAGAGCACGCCGTCCTTGATGAGCACGACGTTGAAGCCAGAGCCCTCGGTCAGGTGGCTGTCGCCGTCGGTCAAAAAGGGGTAGGTGGCGCCGCGGTCCTGGGCCTCGAACATGGCGCGCGTCAGGTCGCCCCACTGCAGGTTCTTGATGGTGGGGTCAAAGGAGCCCGGGGAGATGCGGCGCACGGTGCGCGCGACGACGGCGGAGCCGGAGCCGTCCATCTGCACGGCGGGGTCCATGACCCAGACGTACGGCTGGATGAACATGTAGAGGCGGTTGACAATGTCCTTGGGGTCGGTGCCGCGCACGCCCTTGAGGCCGCGCGTGACAATGATTTCGACAAAGACGTCGCGGATGCCGCTCTGCGCAATCATGTCGACGAGCGTGGCCTTGACCTGCTCGCGCGGCATCGGCATCGTCAGGCGCATCTTGCCGCAGCTGGCAATGAAGCGGTCCAGGTGGTCGTCCAGCCGGAAGAAACGGCCGTCCCACACCGACGGCACGTCGTACGTCAGGTCGCTGTGCATGAAGCCCTCGTCGAGCAGCGGGATGCGCGCCTCGTGCAGCGGCACCAGCTCGCCCTCGATCCACGCCACGCCGCGCGCGTACTTGTTGTCGCTCTTCTGGAGCGCCGCCGCACGCTCCTCGTAGGCGTCAAAGATCTTCTTCATAGTCGCCATTGTGATTGTTGGGGGGTTGTGTTGGATGTGGGAATGTTGGTAGTGGAATGTTGGTAGTGGAAGTGTCGAGAGTGGAGGAGGAGAGGATGATGAGGACTGGTTGGAATACGAAGCTGAATATGAACTGAAAGGGAACAGGATTGACACGGTATCGTCAAGATAAATAGTGTTTAGGAAATATATGGGTGGATACGTCACGGCTCGTTATTCTTATTCAAGCAGTAGTCTTTTCTTTCCTCTTCAAAAGAATAAACTAAGAAATAACTGCCTGCCGTACCCCTCGCCGACCGCGTTCACGCGTTCATTCCAGTGAGAGCTGATGTCCAGTTTTGGTAGAAGTGTAGCCGGGGGCAATACATAATGCGATATCCGACATCCGATATGTGAAGCCATAAATTGCCACGGCGTTAGTTGGTGAGAATAGTGTCGTTGGTGCTTTCCGCGGGGTGTCATTGGAGGTCGCATATGTCCTATTCGGGTAATTCCTATTTGGACTAGTGTAAAGTGGCCAACACATTCCAAAGTGGCACAGTTGGGCTGCCACAGATCCACTAACATACACTAAATCCACTGAAGCCACTAAGAAAAACTACACCCCAAGTTCCCAGGCTAAATGACCATAGTTTCCGACGTGGTCGGCATTGTCCACTTCTCCAATAAGCTGCAGCAGTCTCCAAAAATACTACGTCACAGGGACAGCTTGACAGCTTCGAATGATGTCGACAGCTTATCGGCCGTATCAACTCCACGTGCATGTGAGCAGAGGGCATAATCACAAAAGAAGAAAATGCATGGCATGACAGATCTATGAGTAAAAGCAAAGCCAGCTACAAAGCAGCAACCCCAGCGGTTCCTACACACCCTACAGAGACGCCGTCACGGTCTGCGCCGTCGGCAGCAGCGCCTCAATCGTCCGCACCGCGTCCAGCGCCATGCCGTAGCCCGCCTGGTAGCCCGTGCCGCCGGCGCCGTAGTTGTGCACGAGCGCCCGCGCCCGGCCGCCCACCACCAGCTCGACACGCTCCACGCGCGCACCGCCCTCGCGCGAGGGCCGCAGACCCGACGCCACAGCTAGCACCTCGGGGCCCTTGCCGCCGTTGCTGCCGCGCAGCTCGGACGACAGCGCCGTCGTCCGCGCCAGAATGTCCTGGGTCTCGTGGCCGTAGGTGGCGTGGTCGCCGACGTGTTTCTGCAGGTAGCCGCCCAAAATCACCTGGTCGTTGGACAGCGGCCGCGGGATGACGTAGGTGATGTAGCCGTCGCCGTAGCGCATCATATTGCGGGTGACGCCGGGGGCGCGCACGACGAGCACCTGGCCGCGTGTCGGGTAGCACTTGGGGTCCTTGACGCCCGTGAACGTGATGGCGGCGTTGCCGATGCAGTTGAAGACGATCTCGGTGTGGGGACCGACAACGGACGGCAGGTCGGCCACGCTGCGGCGGACAAATGTGACGCCGGCGGCTTGCAGCGTGGCGTGCAGCCACAGCAGGTGCTTGGGCGCATGGATCGTCACGGTGTTGAAGGTGACACCAAACGCGGCGCCCTCGGGGAGCTGGGCCGGGGTAAGCACCGCAAACTGCCAGGTGTACGGTTAGCATGGAAGGTGTGCACAATTGCCTTTAGGCACATCTTGGAGGCCCGCCTGGGAAGGAAGCTCACGTTTTCCAAGTACTCCGACATAATCTTAATCTTGTCGTTGGGGACGACGTCGTCCCAAATCTCCGTCGACGGCGTGCGCGCCACGAATGCCTCGTCCGCGTGGTGTGTCGCCAGCTGCAGCAGGTGCCGGTACCCGAGGCGGTCCCAGCGCAGCGCGTTGGCGTCGCTGCCCGAGATGGACGAGTAGTTGCAGCCCGCCCACGGCGATGTGTAGTCGGGCGCCGTGTCGCCCGGCATGTACTCGGCGACGATTGTCACAAGGTGGCCGAGGCCCTTGCGCGCCAGCACGAGGGCAACATCGAGGCCGATGACGCCGGCGCTGTCGTCGTGTTAGCTGTGGTGTTGTGTGTCATATTTTGGAATGGGAACGAATGTGGACATACCCGAGGATGACAATGCTGTCTTTGGCTGTCCAGGTAGCCATGGCGATGGCAAGAGTGTGTGTGTGGGAGCGTGGTTTAGAGGATCAATGTCGAGGTGAAGGGATGCTGATGTGGTGGAAGGGAGTTGGAAGCTCGGCGAGCCAAAGAGTTCGGAAAAGTTAAGAGGTCTTGTGGGCCAGGCAAGGGGCGGGGTCTTTGAAGAAAAGGGAAGGAGAGAAGCAGTGCAGCCGAAGAGTGTTCTTTCCTTTTGGGAAGTATGAAGTTTTGTTTTGCTTACTTTGGCATCACTCCTCCAAGTTCTTTGCAACGTCTTGCGATGTTTCTGGGACTCAGCAATGCGGAGGACCCTCATGCATTTTGAATGGGCAAGGCGCACCGTACCCACAAGACTACGACGGACTTTAGAGCCTGGAAACGGATTGACCGAACACGACGCAGAGATACATCGTCAGAGGGTTCCTTTCCGATTGGAGAAATGAAGCAAAAAAATTGAACAAAAAAATTGAACAAAAAATAAACCGATAGCTATTGAGCCTTCCCAGACAGGAAGTTCCTTGCGTGGTTTCCGTTCACACAACCTGCGACAGTCAAGGTCCGACCGCTGAGACGAAGGCGACGCAGTAAACGACGGCCGACTTGAGACCGATATCGGTGCTAGTCCCAAACAGGAGATGTTGATACGGAATGTGGGATAGAAAGAACTAGTTGAGAAGGCGGGCAGGTGCTGGGGCAAGGTGGGCTGGCTGGCTAGCCCCGAGCCTGGCAGGCGCGAGTCAGGGCAGGCGGGTCTGGGATGGGTCGTCTTGCCCGATAGGATGGCCATGATGGAGAAGGTGCGATCGGATCCTCGACACAACGACCTTCTTCCTGTTTGGGTATATCACCCACGGGGCACTCCATGCGGACGGTCGTGCCTGCGTGTGCTGACATCTGAGACATCCGATCGCCATTCTCCTTTCCCGGTCATATCAACAACTCCCGCAAGGTCTGAGATGCCAGCAACGAGGGAGACGGCCCATGTCCAGATCGGTTCATCACCGCATCTGTTGATATCCATGATCCACTTCGCCGTCGCAATTCCCTCTCCAGGCAGTTTCCACCACTGAGGCAATTCCCTTCCTTGGCAATCAACGCTGCAAAGAAGACACGAAGTGTCCTCTCATCTGGAGCCTCAGATCGTCTGCCACCATGGCGCAGGTCCAGACCCCCCGCGAGTTCAAGTTTGTTGGCGGTCCCAGCCGCAAGAGGCGCCGCAACGGCACCGCACCCGCTGCCGCGTCGAGCCATGCTGCCTCGACGTCTTCGCCGTCGTCCACATCCTCGTCCAAGCAAGCAAAGCGATCACGCGGACCATCTGCTGCGGGCCCTGTCCGGTCTCCGCGGGCCGCGCCACAGGATGCCCCTGCTGTCC